ATTTTATTATATTTATTGACGTATCCAGACTGAAAGCATTAGAAATGAATTTATTTTGCTTTTAAAATTTTAATTACACATTGAATGCGTTATGGTTTGTCGATTAAAATTACTAACTAAAAGTCAAAAAAAATAAAAATACATTGAAATTGAAATCCTAGTCAAAAGTAAATAAATATTCAAAACACACACCAGCATTAATGAGGTTATCACTTTAAACAAAAGTGAAACATTAAAACAATAAGCTTTAAAATAGAGAAGAATAAAGTAATTGAGATTGTCGTATGACTTTAATGAAAACTACTTTTGACTTTATAAGATATTTTCTGGAAATCCAAGAGAAAATTATTGCAAATGAAAATTAAAAACATTTAACTTATTAAAACTTTTAAAACTAAGTCAAATATATATATATACTATATATGGCATATAGTCAACATAGGTAATTTTAAAAACAAACTTTTGAAAACTACTATTTGGATTATTATGAAAAACTATGAGGAACCACTTGGGGATATTAAAAAAAGTCAAATCTTAAAACAGTTAAACCGCTATAAAATAAAACAAAAAAATCTTCTACAAATATAAAAGGATTTTAAAAAGGTTATACTTTCTAATTACTCAAAACATTACTAAATTGCTAGATAGAGAATCCAACGAAAGTCAAGCCTTAAGCAATCATCAACGAAAATGTAACATCAGTTATTTTAGATTTTTTTATGTGAATGCTAGATGTAACGATATAATATTATTCTATATATAACTTATTAAAAAAAATAATTTGTTGAATAATTTTGAAAAACAATATGACTATTTCACATCATTTTAACTTCATCGCATAAAGTTCTTTCAAAGTAACTCGCTTGAAGATTAGTCTATTTCTCTTGCTTTAAAATACTCCAAAACATTAAAGTAGAGATTTAAATTCAGATTAACCCACCCACTGATTTACTTCATAAGGCCCATGTAATTTCTTGTTTTCAACTTTAATGAGATCCCAACTAATATCTCACTGATTCCACCGAGTCTATAGTTTATCCGAGTTTAACGTAATTTTAAACAATTTTTTTATTTCTTTCAATTACTTGCTTTCTTGGATTTTTCTAATTAAAATTGATTAAGCTCTCTAAATATTAAACATTTGTAATTATCCCATGAGACCTTGATTACTGTAAAGGTATTTTGCTCATTGTCTCTATATTAGATAGATACCTTAAATATGGCACAATGTATTTCAAAGTCCAAAAGTTCCAAAGATTTTAAGTCTCATTTGGACAGATTAAATGCATAAATCTTTAAAATTAAGGAAGACTTAAAATGGCTTATTATATCAATGGAACTGCAATTTAAAAGTAAAACAAGAAACAAGTGAACCAAAGATCTTATTTAACTAAATAAATAAATAGTGTCTTTTATATGCACTAAGAGCAAAAAATTAATCTCCAGAAAAATAATAGGCATTTTCATCAAAAATTTAAGTTGATTTACCCATCAATCAATTAGAATATACATAACTATAAAATAAAGTCGATAATATATATGCAGTATATAACTTGTTTATATCTTCAAATTGTATTTGAAATTATACAAAAATGCAATATGCAATTTTGTCTATTAAATATGCATTCGTCAAAGCCAAACTCATTATTGAAAATATTTATTCAATAACAAAAACAACAAACAAGACTGCAATTTTAATTTTTTCAAACTTTTTTTAAACTTTGTTGCACTATTTTGCAATTCCAAACACAAACGATGGAAAATATTTAAATACTTAAAATGCAGTGAATGCAGTTCAATGTAATAAAAGAATAGACAATGAGAACTTATTGCAAAATATTATTAAATAAAACTAAGTATATGATTAATAATGGAGTACGCAATATTTAAGAATAAAAAATAATTACTATAAGCAGTAATAACTATAAAATTCATAATTTAAATCATACAAACAAAATTATATATATTTTTATATATAATTATATAGTTTTTTAGCGGGTTCTCAGTCGGTCAATTTTTTCCATTTTTTTCCATTTTTTCCAAAAGAACTGGTAGTCAAATGCTACAAGATCCAAGCCATACATTAGATGTATCAAAACTTTCCAACTAACTACCATCACTTTTTTTTGAGTTATCAAATATGTATGTGTCCTAGCATTGTACTGATGGAACTTAACTCTGTTAGTCGATTCTGATCGCTTATCCTTGATTGTTTCGTCAAAGCGAACGTCTTGTCAACAGTAAATGACCAAATTAAGCGTTGAACGAACCTACAACTCTGTTGACTGATTCTGGTCACTTTTCCTTGATTGTTTCGTTCAAGCAGTCATGTTATCAGCAGTGAAGGACCGAATTTGCACCAGTTGCACCAGCCTGCAGCAGTTCGTAATTGAAAAGTCCCTTACTCCAACACTGAACACATAACATAGCGTCGTTTGCGTTAATCCGGGCTTTAAAGTCGTTTGGTGAAGCTCTTCGGCATGTGACTTGCATTGGATATTATCGTATCTAATATATTTTTCATTGCCGGTGATGATTCACCCAAAAACTGCTTCGATTTCGTTTCGTTATAGTAGCGTTTCAGTGATGGTAATTCTATGAATCAAATTTCTTGGCGTTAATTCATGTGGTACCCATATATAGAGTATCTTTGCATAGCTTGCTCTTTTTTAATGGTTCTCAACTGTCTTGTTGTTGATGTCTAGTGTCTTCGCTATCTTCAGACAGCTTTTGTGTCGGTCTTGCCGCCCTAATTATGAAATTTCGTCGACAAAAAACGATGGAAAATTTTTTTATCACTTAATATGCATACTATTCGAATATCAACAAATTTAACAATATAAGGCCTTTTCTTTCGTAAGCATATCGCAAAAGAACAAATAAAATAAGCGCTACTTTTGATGACAACTCCGATTATATGTGCAAAATATGTAATAAAATTTAATGTTGAAATTTCGATAATTCTTTTTTTACATGATTCTGAATAAAATATAATTTTTCGTACCTTTTAACAGTAAAATAATAAATAGAAAAAATAACGAATATGTTACGAACAATGACGACATGAAATACGAATAATTAACAAAATCATTCGCTGACAGATAATTGGATGTTTCGTAGATACTTTCAAAAATCCTTCACAATAGACGAATTTTTAGTCTTGTCAACCATATGATTTGAACTGCTTATTAGTCAAGCAATTTCAAAAAGGTTGGACTAAATAAGCCAACAGTGTTGTTGTTTCATATGTTATTTTTAAAATAAGCAGTTGTTCTTTTGTGATATGCTTACAAAAGAAAAGGCCTATACTTGATAATGAATTATGCTTACTTAAACTACCTTCGGCTCAAAAAGTATCCGGATTTTATTGGTTGTTAACTACTCCTTAAGTTATAGACATTTTTCAAAAAAATTTTTTTGTTATGTTGGTACACTCTTTCTTGACATAGGGTATAAATTTGAGCGCCATCTGTCAATTAGTTTGTTTACAGCAGCTGTTAATGTGAGACTACCTCAAGTGCATTTAGCGATTTTTACTATGGAAAATTCTTCTTGTACGCAATTTTTTGACCAAACACGGCACCACTGTCATCGCTCAGGCACCATATTCGCCAGATCTGGATCCATGCGACTTTTTCCTGTTCCCGAAACTCAAATTGTCTCTTCGTGGTAAGCGTTTTGAGTCGATTGAATCGGTAAAAGAGAATTCGCTGAAGGAACTAAAAGCCATACCTGCACGGGCCTACGAAAAGTGTGTGGAAGATTGGTTTAAGCGTTGGCATATGTGCATCGCTTCAGAAGGAGCATATTTTGAAGGAGATAAAATAAATTTGGAATAAAATTTAAATTTGTGTGTTTTATTTTCAAAATCCGGGTACTTTTTGAGCTGGTAATTTCATTGCAAATAGTCTCTATTTGAAAACTCTTCTTAAAAAAAATATTGTAAAAAATTATTTTTTAAACCTTAACTATTAAAATGCCGTAATTATTTATTCATAATCCCTTAATTTATCTGTACTAAACTTAGAAATATTTTAACTTATTCAATTCTTGAAACGTTCTAAATTACTTAATCAACATACTTCTCAGTGTTAAATGATGGCAATGCTGTTATTGTAAAATCTTAAGTTGTTTGTTCATTCTAATTTAGTTCTGTGACAGAAAGTATCTTTGGCTGCATTAAATTTTATCACAGTGACAACAATAAGAGGGGACAACTTAAATTTGTATTTCCTCTTGGAATTTAACGGGCACTGCCACAAAATTCGCCCGTAACAGTTGCGTCATTTGTGTCTCGCGCCGCGTAAGTATCACTTGCCTTTCGCTCCCATAAAACACTTGCGGAATACACGAAGTCAAGATACTTAATCAAAACAAACAGCAAGAAATAAAGTTCAGAAAAATGTCGGACATTAATCACATAGGAGAAATGTATGCAAAACAATTTCGAAGTGAAATACTCGTACGTAGAGGCTTACGTCTTGCGTTGCGAGTTACTCGTACAAGTGAAAATGTGTAAGTTGTTGGCTTTGGCTTGTTTGGAGCAGGAGGGATTAAATTTGACACA